ACTCTTAGATCAACCATTTAGCATTTGGCTTCGGGTAGGACTCAAAGCTTGAGTCAACAACACCTCTCCCTGCTATACAAAGTCTTGGCCTTCTCCTTGCTATGTAAAGTCTTGGTCTTACCCGTTCTTCCAAGATATAAATTGTTTTTTTGGAGAGTGCTTTAAGGCTTTATTATTTCTTATAAGATCCTGAATAATTATAGTCTTACTTGTTCTTTTGTCTGTGTTTTCTATAATGCTAAGGAGGAATCCATTTTACACTTGTTCTTCTCATGCCCTTTTGCTCAAGTTGTATGGTTTGCTTCCCCCTTTGGGGATATTTCAAGAGAAGATTACAATCTTCGGTTATAGATTTTGTAATTTCTATAATTGACAACCTGGATAATAAACAATATCATATAAGAGATTCCTAATCCAGTTCCCTATTTTAGCTTATCATATTTGGCAGTTCAAGAATGATACAATATTTAAAAACAAAATCTAGATGACCACTAAGACAATAACGCAAATTCAAAGTGCTATAAAATGATTTGATGTCTGTAATGCCCTCTCCGAACAACAACATGAAACAGTTTAAACCTTCAAACCCCCTAAGTCATTGGGATTGATTATATTATTTTTTGTGATGGTAGCCTTCTCCCAAATGGTTGAGGGTGTTTGCTTTTGTTTGCTTATCTCACTTGGGTTCTTTTGTGGCAACAGTAGGTAGAAAGTATCGGAAAGCTCGCTTTGTTCTAAAGATAGAACTGAGATAAATCAAGGTAGCAGTGGATTTCGCCCTTGAAAGAAATCTTCAAAAAATTTTAGTCTTATCTTATAGTCTTCTTGTTGTGAATATTCTGAATTATGGGAAGTTGGAGGTTGTCCTAGATGTGTGGCATTTGGTGGACGTGAACTTCAAGTATATTCATAGACTTAGGAATGGTTTGGCCCATGAAACTACTAAGAGGGCCCAAACTCTAAATAGGAAGGTTAATTTTTTTGACTCCCCTCCCTCATTTTTGTATGAACTTTATTCTAATCTCTTGGATGAATGGTAATCCTTTGCATTATAGAGGGGGGGGGGGCATAGAGTGGTTGTTCTTACATTTCAATTTGCATTCTCATGCTTGTTAACCCAAGGTTTTATCATTATACCAACAAGCTGGTCAACATGGATATACCCTAATATGAATCGTGTAATACATGCTTGATCAAGTTTGGGTGGGTTGGTAAGATTTCATGGTTTTGTTGCCAATGCTTTGTTGTTATATATTTTGTTTGATTATAGAATCCAATTTACATAAGATGAAAATGTATAGAACTATCATCAAAATCACCATATTGCTTACTTTATATCACTACAATTATAATGGTGTTGAAATGAACCTCTTAGGCTAAATACAACTTCTAACTTCAGGAATTTGTTTAATAAAACTAAAGCTACAAGGCAATTACCACAATTTTTTTTTGAAGAACGTTATGAAGCTCATTTTTTCATTGCCAACAAACCATAGGGCAATTACCACATGTTGATATTTCCAACCTAGTGAGCAGTGTCTTGATCCATGGAGATTTTATGGCACAATTATAAGAATGATAATTTATGAATTCAAATCAAAATAGTTCAATGCTTTGTATATCGAAAATTCATAGAAAACAAAATGCTTTTGTTTTCAAAATTGTGACATTGTCAAAACAAAAACATGTTATTAAAGTGTGTATGTGTTTTAAGCAAAAGCCCTAAAGTGTCACTACACTCATTTTTTAAAGTTTAATCCCTCAAGTGTCATTACCCCAAAATAAAGGACAAGAGATACATATGTTCCCACACCACTATCCACATACATTATAGGTGTGTATTGGGAATATCTTCCGTATTCATCATGGGAGGTGTTGACAATACAAGAGAGTGGTGTAAAATATTGCTTTGATAAATCTCTTCAATGTTGTCATATGTAGGCAAGGTATGGAAGAGTTTCTCAGCCTTAGGTAGTGATCTACTACCAATAAAATTCTTCCAACCCTATCCAAACGGGCCACTACAAAGGAGATGTTCTCAGTGAGGCTGAATCACCTACCAACAAAATATTTTTCAATATACCCTACCAACATCACTCATCATATAACACAATACATCTCATACATGATAACTTACGAGTTCGTGTGAACATCTTCCATACTTGTCATTGGGAGATGTTCCCTATACATGGTTGGGATGTTTTGTGGGGCATTGGGGGGGGCTTTGAAGTGGTTGGGCTCAAATTTTGAAGTCACATTTGCCCCCATAGAATGCGAATTGGGATCTACTCCTCATAGAGTGCATCTCACACGGACTTCACAAAGCTATAGCCTCATCCACCGTGTATTGGAAATATCTCCCCATGAATAACAACACAAAAGATGGGAGATGTTCCCAATATATGGTCGGATGAGACTGTGAGGGCCGTGTGAGATGCTCTTTGTGAGGAGCAAGGCCAAACTCATAGAATGTGCCCCAAAAATGTCCCACAACACATCCCAACTGTGGGTTGGGAACATCTCCCAATGGTTGAGTACGAGAAATCTTCTCAATGCACGCTGAGATGTGCATGCCAGATGTTTTTGGGGGCAGATCCCAATGTGATGGGATCTGCTCCTCACAAATGGGTGCCTCACAGGCACATCCGTCGTGCATTGGAAACATCTCCCATGAATTATAACTAATAAGTACGGGAAATGTTCCCAATGCATGATAGGATGTGCATGTAAGACGCTAGGTGTGAGGAGCAGATTTAAATCAGCCCCCCCACAAGATAGTTTCCCACAACATCCCACAGCACATCCCCGCCGTGCATTGGAAACATCTCCCGATGATAATATAAAAATGATGAAAAATCATTGGGAGATGTTCACAATACATGGCGGAGATATTCTGTAGGACATTGTGGGAAACTTATCTTGTGGGGGGCTGATTTCAACTCCCCAATTCGTTCATAGTACAACTGCAATGGACGTGAACACGTGGTTGGTACCATATGTTGATGACAAGTTGACAACGACTCCGGATCTCCTGCCCACGAGAACCCTGCAAAAGTTTGTTCTCTCAATGTGCTGATCACACCACACACCACAATGCAAACCGCAAAAGTTTGTTCTCTCTCTCACATCCGAGATGGAAGCATAAATATCGAGTTTGTGGGTGCACAGGACGAGTGCGCTAACCAATCGCGTTCAGCCACATTGATTGAGTGCATTCTATGTAACGGTAACGTGGGTTTGGCCGTCAACCGACTCCATTCGATTCAACAAGACACAAAAAGACAAAATTGTTCATTTTCATTTCACATGTGTTCAAACTCCCCCTCCCTATACTCAATTCATACCCTAGCACCTCCAATAATCGCAGCTCACTCACCGGCGCCCCCGTGAACGACGAAGCCACCAGTGGTGAGAGACAAATCGTTCGGCGATACTCTCCATTGCCATGGCCACCGTATGTTCTTGAGCTTGCACGTGCTGGGCTGTGCTTCTTTTCCTCAGCTTTCCTATATTGGAGGCGCTTCTACCACCATAAGAGACTGAAAACATAACAGTAGAAACATAAGGTTGCAAGACAAGCTCGACTATTGTAACAACAACCAGTAGAATAAGCCTCTTCCTCCTCTTCCTATTGTTGGATACACTCACATTTTACATCCAATGGCTTTCTGCATAGATTTCTGTTCATTGCAAATGCAGAAGGGTCGTTGAATCGGGAACCCATCACCTCTGGATCTCTCCCTCTAGTTTGTTCTTTGACACGTTGAAGTGTTTTAAACCAGAGAGGCGAGACAGATTTGTCAGGATCATCCCAGCCAAGTGGTTCGTGGAGAGGTTTAGCATGGTTAGATTTGATAAGTTAGATAGTGAGTCTGGTATGGAACCCACCAGTTGATTTTCATCTAATAATAGAGAAGTTAGAGAAGAGCATTTGGATATTTCCTCCGGTATTTCACCCGAGAAATTGTTTTGCCCCAAGTCGATCTCCTTCAAGGGATAGAGGTGAGAAAGATCAACTAGAATTTTGCCACTCAAATGATTTGAACAAAGCTGAAGGATTTCCAAATTGGAGCAGTTGCCGAGTTTCACTAGAATCGTGCCTGAAATGCGATTGTTGGATAAGGAAAGAATAAGCAATGATTTGAGGCAGCCGTAGGTTGCTAGAATCTCACCATAAAGAAGCATTTGATGTGAGGTTCAAATACCTTAAACCCAATAAGCTACTGAAACCTTCAGATACATCTCCGATGGTGCATTGTCTTGTAGTGCAATTATTTGCAGATTTGGCAAACCTGAAAGCTCGAGCAGCAACTCACCAGAGAGGTTTTTCCGACTCAAATCTAGAGTCCTAAGATCCAATGGACTTCCAATGCTGGAAGGTATCCTTCCTAAGAAACTATTGCCACTCATTCAGAACAAGTAGCCTTCATAAGTTGTTTACACTCGAAGGGATTTCACCATTAAATCTGTTGCCACTGAGATTCAAAGTAGTCAAATTGCTCTACCATATTAGTTCTTTCGGCCCATTGCCAGCCAGGTTGTTTTGTGGCTTTTGCCTTAGATTTAGTATTTCCAACTCATTTAGGTTAGAGAAAGAGTTCGGAATTTGGCTAGAGAAGAAATTTCCTCCAAGAGATAACATCTTCAAATCCCTTATCTCTCCTATAAATGAAGGAACTTTACCGGAAAAACGATTCCCTTCTAGATAAAGAACGCTTAACAAGCTGCACTTTTTAATCTCCACCGGAACGATACCATTAAATGAATTGTTTGCCGAAATGCTGGATTTCTTGCCGCCATTCCACAGTGAAGGATGCCGGTGTGTGGTGAGTGGCCGGCGGGATGCTCGGGTTAGATGAGGACAAGAGATGGGGGAGGGGAGATTTCGAATGATATTAAACTTTGAAAGAAGCCCTGCTTTTTGTTTTATCTTTTTGCGGGTGGTTGAACCGGGGTTTGTTCAACTAACGGCTGAACACCCGTTAATGTTGGTTTTTTTTTTCGAACGCGGACTCAATATCTTGCCAATTGACGGCACCTTATCTGCCTGCACACCACTGCATCCCTCCAGGTCTCAGCCACCAAGTGAATGCAAGCGCTATTGGCAGCCATGGCGGCCCACACCATAATCGCAGCTTCTCCTCCTCAACCTCTCCTTTCTTCCTTCTCAAACCCTAGCCTTTCTCTCCAATCTTCCTTCGTTGGTCTCTCCATCAAATTCCCTCGCCAATCCCTCAAGTTCGCCGTTGCATCGAAGCCCCTCACAGTAGTCGCTGAGACGAAGAAAGCCGTGGCTGTCCTCAAGGGCAATTCCCAAGTCGAGGGTGTTGTCAGCTTGACCCAAGAAGACAATGGTCTGTGCTGAAAATCTGTATGATCTTCTGAATCAATTCCCATTAGTTTTTTTTTTTTTTTTTTTAAATCAGTACCTCCACCGGTTCTTGTTTGCTGTTGCTGTTTTTCTTTTCCTTCCCCCCACCCCACCCAGGTGGTGAAGTAAATTTGCATTCTTTAATTGATGCAGGCCCGACGACTGTAAATGTCCGTGTTACCGGACTTACTCCTGGACCTCACGGCTTCCACCTTGTGCGTATTAAATTTTGGTTGTAGCTTTATCGTTTTGAATTGTAACACTAGTAAGCTTTTCTGGTAACAGTTGATTTTCTTTTTCTTTTTTCAACTTTATTTTTTTTTAAATTTATTTGCAGCATGAGTATGGTGATACGACGAATGGGTGCATATCTACAGGTTTGGTTTAACTGCATTTTGCTTGGTTTGTTTAGTAATTTATTTAACAGTACCCAGACCTTGCAAAAATTGCAATGTAGATTGATACTGAGTGTCAAAATTGATGACCACTTGAAGTTTCAATCGTAATTTCATTTCGTTTTTTTTTTTTTTTTTTTTTTTTTTTAATTAGGGGCACATTTTAACCCAAACAAAATGACACATGGTGCTCCTGAGGACGAAATCCGTCATGCGGGTGACCTGGGAAACATAGTTGCTAATGCCGATGGTAAATCCTGCTTTCGTTGTTAATGAAATAGTTCCTTCCCTGCTTGAAGTACTGATTTTGTTGGTGCATTATGTTAATGTAGGTGTGGCCGAGGCAACAATCGTTGATAACCAGGTTAAAACTTTCTTATTCTTTCTTTGTGCGATGTCTTGTATGACATAAGGATGTTATTTTGTCTATATACCATATCCTGTATCGCTTTCTTAGTAATCTCTCTGTTGCTGGGCCTCTATCTTACTATTGACTGAAATGTGCAGATACCACTGAGTGGACCCAATGCCGTCATTGGAAGAGCATTTGTGGTTCATGAACTAGAGGATGACCTTGGAAAGGGTAATGCTTGACATTAATTAGTTTTCACCAAAGCTGGGATCCATTTGGCTCTTTACTTCCAATTTCTGTTTATTTAAGAATTTCATTTTGCTCATGATGCATATATCACTGCATTAAATCTCTCTTGAACTTTCTATATTTTTATGCATCTGTAGGTGGGCATGAACTTAGCCTCACCACTGGCAATGCAGGGGGAAGATTGGCATGTGGTAAGCAATACATATCAATGTTGCTCTTTTCCTCTTTGCTTGGAAATTCCTGTTTGCTTTCTTTCTTTCTTTTACTGAAGAATTACCTGTAGCTAGAGAAAAAAAAAACAATTCATTCATCACTTCCCAATTGACAAACCATCTAGAGTTCATCACTTATTTTTCTATTTCCCTGGATGGCCATGATGAAAGAGATTATCATTTAGGCAACACATGGAATTTTTTGTTCCTACAAAACAAGCTATTGCATGTGATTACAAAATACCCATGACTCAACCTCTCTGTTCCTGGGGTTCCTGGGGCTCTTTCTATCATGTGTTTGTATTCAAAGTAATTATTTAAATTTGTGGAATAGTTCTGGAGAAAAAAATATTGATGTAAAACTATCATTGGTTTATGCTTTCGTTTGTTATTTATCTTTTTTTTTTTATCAGCAACACAAAACTGATTCATTAGATTAAAAAAGAGGTACAACAAAGATTTGTGGGCACAAAAACAAAGCTCACCAGAAACTATTCACTATTTACAGAATTGCCCATAACATAGAGTGTCTTTGAGTTCCTTGCTTTGCCAGACCATCAGCCAAACTGTTTGCAGACCTCCTAATCCATCTTATTTGGATCATCATATCTTTAGAAATCTGCTTGAATCTCCTGAATTCATTCCTTAACTTCCATATGATTCCTTCCCCTTTTTTCAACCAGCCCACAGCTTCGTTTGTTACTTATCTTGTCATCAGTCACTTGTTACTGGGGAAGTGGGGACATGGAAGCCCCACTTGTTACTGGGCTGCCAGTGGGGTCTAGTACAGCAGCGGTAACATATGGAAGCCCCTTGTAGAGAGAGTTGAAAGGAGATTAGACAGATGGAAAGCTAAATATGTATCCTTGGGCGGCAGGATTACACTTATATAAGGAGTGTTCTCTCTAGCCTACCAACTTACTTCCTCTCATTGCTGAAGGTTCCTAAGGAGGTGGTTGTGAAAATTGCGAAGATTCAAAAGGATTTTCTTTGGGGGTGGTAGTTGGTAAATATGGAGTAGTAAGGCTTGGGTGGGAACCAAGAGAAGTAAGGAGTTCTTACGGGGTAAGCGTTTGGAAAGGGATCATGAGATTTAATCAGGAGTTCAGGGATCGGGTTAGTTTCAAAGTTGGGGATGGGTCAACAGTGAGGTTTTGGGAAGATGAATGGCTTGGGATAGGGAAACTCTGTGAGGTCTGTCCAAGGTTATACAGGTTGTCTGAGCAGCAAATCACAATCGATCAGTGCTATAAATGGAGAGGGGAGCAGCTGATTTGGTCCCCAAAATTTAGAAGACCTTTACTTGATCAAGAAGTTGAAGAATGTATTCTGCTGTTGGAGAAATTAGAAGGCACAGGTATCTCTAGGAGCACAGGAGATGGCCATTGGTGGAAAGAGTGCAAAGAAGGAAGATTTTCAGTGAAGTCTTTCTACAAGGCTCTAACAAGAGAAAGTGTGGAGACAGAGCAGATAAAAGGTGTATAGGGTAATCCGGTACCCCCTAGGATTGAGGCTTTTGCTTGGTTGGTAGCACGTGGCAACATTCTTACTACAGATCACTTGAAGAACAGAGGGTTTCACATGGCAAGCTTCTGTTAGTTATGCAACTTGGAGGAGGAAACTATACTGCACCTGTTCTTTTCTTGTAGTGCAGCAAATTTCATTTGGAAGTTCTTCTCATTTCTGTTCAGGGTCAATGTCTTTCAACATTTATCCCCAGTAGAAATTCTCCAAATGACCAAAATTCAGAGGAAGCAAGAAAACTAGAATCATGTGGAGCTGCATTCCATTTGCAGTTTGCTGGTCTATATGGAATGAGAGGAACAGAAGGATTTTTGAAGATAAGGCAAAGACTATTGATCTTTTGGTAGCTGCAGTGAGTAATCTGATATCAGATTGGGTGCTACAGCTTCCAGAGTTCGACACAGTGAACAAAGCTGATATTTTAGAAAACTTTTGGAGTACTTTTGAGTTACAGCCCTGTAATGAAGATTTATTTTCAGTTTGAGTGATGTACCTTTGTTTGGTTTGTCAACTTGACAACCAAAAGTTTTGTACTGTACCTATTTTTCAGTTTAATGAAAATTTTCAATTGATCTTTCAAAAAAAAGCAGGGATTATTTTTTATTAATCTACTCTACTGCCCACCATTGCATACAGAATCCTCAATAATTATTTTAATTAAATTTGTTGTCACATTCTATAGTCTATGGAAGATTCTACATGGGTATATCATATACAGTAAAAGTCTTCATCTTTGCCTTCCTTATAAAAAATTCTGTTATTTTGTTCCTTCCACACCACCCAACAAATTGCTAATGGAATCTAACTCTTAAGGATCATTTAAATGCCACCCTGCAACGAAAACTCCAAGTAGCACTGAATTGTCAACCGACAAACAAATGATCTGCTCCCTCTGGGTTGATTGGACAGAAAGTGCACATACCACATAAATTATGTACTCATAAGCTAAGGTTGTATCATCAACTTATGGAGTTTGCATTTGGAAAGGTATCATGAAGTTTCATCAACTCCTCATTAAGTGCACACAATTCATGGTTGGGGATGGTTTTAGAGTGAGAATTTGGAAGATGAATTGGTAGATTATGGCATTTGTGGTCAATACTTTATCACAAGAAGTTCTAAGGATATTACAATTATTGAATGCTTTGAGATAAAAAAATAATAGGTGGTTTAGTTCCCACATTTAGAAGACTTGTTCCAAAAAAAAAAAATTGAAGAGTAGGTACCAAGATCAACCAACGAGGTAGCGGATAACTTGTCTCACCCAAGAGTAACAAGACAAGAATTCCTTTGGAGCAGGGTGGTGCAACTTTTGCAATATAATCTCAATTGCAACTTCATTTGTATCATGTTAGGATATCCTATTTTTCCTCTTATCAAATGTATAGGTTAGGATTACGACAAAGGTTTTGTTAGTCTATGTACCATTGCACCTAGGGCTGGCAATTTTGACCCCAACCCATTTGACCCACCCAATCCACCCACATCAAAACCCACTCATTCTAATGTTGGGTCAAGATGGGTCGAGTGACCCATTAGGGTCTGAGGAAAAGGGTCAGGTGGGGTTGGGTCGAGGGTTACCCATTGACCCTACTTATTTAAAACTTTATCAGCTTCGACAGTTTCTTCCTCCTCTCCTTTGTTTAGGGCTTTGCTCAAATGCAAAAGGAAGCTTCAGAATCACTGGCGATTACTCTTGCCACCACCATTCTCCTCACTCAAGTTGCTGTTTCTCGCTCAAGCCGCTGCCACCATTATCATTGTCGCCATTCTCGCCGCTACCAACAACAATATCAACCCATTCTTGCCGCCATTCCCGTCAGTGTTCCTTCTCCCCAATCTTTGAAGATGTGACTTGTTTCAACAGACTGGTGCCAACAATTGAACAAAGGAGAGGATGTTGGCGATTTAACGGATGGAAGAGAAACAGGGAGGCACCGACTTAGCCAATTTTTTTGAGTTTTTTTATCATTTTTGTATATTTTATATGATTGTTGTGTTATAGTTTTTTTTGATAAATAATTTTTAGTTGAAATATATAATGAGGAGCGATAATTATTATTTTACCATTTTCCGTGATTATTTTCTGTAATTTTTGACTAAATATTTTTTTTTGGAAAATTTTCATCATTTTTTGTGTTTTCGATAATTTTTTCTATTTTTACCTGAAACATATAATTTCTGGAAATTTTATTATCATTTCCTATGTTTTTATGTGATTATTGATTTTAGTTGAAATATATAAAATTTTGAATTTTTATTATTTTATTTATTATTCTGCAATTTTTGTTTTTTTGGCTGAAAAATATATTTTTTTGAAAATTTTATCATTTATATGTTATCAGCAATTTCTATCAATTTTTGCATTTTCTGCAACTTTTTGGCATTTTACTACAAATATTTTGTCATTTTTTGCATTTTCTTCAATTTCTATGTTTTTTAAAAATTCTCTTTTTTAACTTTATTTAATTGTTTTGTTATTTTCTAATTTGTTTTGCAATTTCTGATGTTTTACACAATATATATATATATATATATATATATATTTTCCATTTATTTTGTTTTTATAAATTTTTATTTTTATTTGAAAAAATTAATTTTTTTTGCCTTTATAGTTTAAATATATAGTTGTATTTTTTATACAATTAGAATAGAGAAAAAGTAAAAAAAAAGTCTGATTTGAATAATTGAATTAGATATTTAGAGGTCAAATGGGTGGGTTAGGGTGGGTCAGGGTTAAAGTGGGTTGTGACCCACTAACATGGGTGACAAAAGGGTTAGTGGTTCGATATGGGTGGGTTGGTACTCAACCCTCACCCAAACCCAACCCAACCCACCCATTTGCCACCTGTTTGCTGATAAAAAATTTAAATTGAAGAATTAATTGGATTGTTCAGAAGGTTTGGAGCTCCAAAGATAAAACCTTTGCAAGGTGCGAAGTGGTGGCAAGAATGTGCCCGTGGTTCTTTCACAGTCATATCATTTTATGTCTTTAATGATAAATCAGGTGGAGCATTCTGAGATTAAAGTTGTTTGGGGTAATCCAGTTCCCAATGGTACTTTTACAACCAAAGGCTTGTATCAATGAGAATGAGTGGAAATGTGTTCAAAGTGGTGAAAAATGATCGAAGGACTTGAAATTTCACAGAAAACATGGCTCTTAATTTCACAGAAAATCACAGGCCTGGTAGCCACATAACGGCTATAAAAGGGGAACAGATCCCCAAAACAGATAGAGGTCTTCCAGTCCAATAACCCAGGCCACAGAAGACCATAGCCTCAGCCTCAATTCCCCTTTTTCTCTTTCCCTTCTTTCTTCCTTTACCAATCAATTCATCTATAAGCTCAGTCTCAGACCATCAGCACAAGGGGAACTCAGTTCCCCAAACAGACATCTAGCCAGAGACAACCTCCTGGCACGTTCGGCTGGAGAGACCAACCAAGACCATGTCTTG